GATGTATCGGAAATACATTTCATAAGTGATGGTTTGAGTGCTTTTTTAAACAGGCAACAAATAAGAAAATTGTTTCTTAATATGTTTTGAAAACATGTAACACATAGGGTAGAGCACTACTTCGTCGTAATCGCCTATTTCCGTTCTATCGATCAGAAAAGATCAATAATATCAATGATTTCACCATGCACAAATCAATAAATGGTTTGTTCAGATGCGTTAGCTCATAAGCTACAACATAAATCCTATTAGAACGCATTGTATGAATATTTAGGCTCATTGTTCTCAAAACAAAAGAAGCGCTCCTAGAGAATCCCCTTTTTCTACGTTTATCCGTAGGACGAAGAAAATCTAATGGCGATTCAATGCGTTAGGACGGAATTGAAACTCGTAGAACGAATTTGGAATCAAGAAGCAGTGTTAGATTTTTAATAATATCTCAACATTGTTTGACTCTTTATCAAATTCAACGGTACGTATGGAAAGGTGAATAAATTTAGAAGTCATCTTTTAGAGAAATTTTCCATTTTTTGTTCAAACCCGTTCAAAAAAAGGGTAAAGCGCGGGTTGTGCTTAGTAGGACGGAAATTAGATCAAGAACCCTACTTTATAAAAACTATATACGATATCAAAGGTATGGTACCAATGTTTCTAACTCGGAGAAAAGGCAAAGAAGGAATTAAATCATTATATTTTACTATCAAAATTACCCGCATTATCAAAGATACCCCGTTTTACGGTACACCTAGCATCCCTGCATACAACAAAGGAATAAAGGACACACATATTTTGAGATGGCAATCAAATTCCCGGTTGGTTTCAATTCCCTGCATAGCGCTCCTATATACTTCTACTACTCATTAGGTCAACTGACCATTAAGCCGAATGATCATTAGGTCGAATGGTCATTAAGCCGAATTGTCTTCAGGCTGAATGGTCTTTAAGTTGAATGATTTCCAGCTTAACCAGGCTAAAATGAAGTTTGACGAGCAGCCACACATAGTTTTGATTTTAAGATTTTCATCTCTTAGAAGTTTTTGCAAACTATTCAGACTTGCGGAATTTTTTTGACTCTCGTTTAACAGTCTTGGGTTATTCGTGACTTGTCCGGAGATGAAATTTGAATTCGTGACTTTGGCGTGAGAGGTATGGATGTTAACCTCTACGCCGGTGCCGTTCTCATAATATGAAATAATAATTGGGGGTCTATCCAGTTTGGCATACAGTCGTTTAGCATAATAGTCATTTGGCATAACAGTCGTTTGGCATAAACTGCTGGTAACCGCAAGTCAGTATCATCTGTATTTTTAGCAATTTTGAGTTAGCATCATTATTCAGTTTATCTTTCTATGCTTTTTGAGCTTTCCTAGTGAACAAAACGTGGTTTGTCCAAGAAAAATGAAAATACCAAGTCAAATTGTCACACAGGAAAAAATAACCGCATCCCATCAGGAAAAAAAAGGTTTCATTAAATATACTATGAAAAAACGTCACAGTTATGTGTTTAGGCTTGCTTCTATTGAATTAAGCACGTTAGACAACATATCGCATCATGAAATTTGACTCAAGACAGATTCTGTCGACTTCCGCTAGGGTATCCGGAACATGTTCGGATATGGACAATATAGTCTTACGATCCTCAAGATGACCGCCAATGGTAATGGCTCTGAATTCTCATGTGATTTGATGTGCCGCATGATGGATTTTGATTTAGAAGGGTTTTACCACTTCCCCGGGGAAACCCGGATCATATCCGGATGTGGCCAACAAGGTGCTGGCTACTCATCATGACTCTTATTGATCTTCATTTTAAATTCTAATGTGAATGGATTTATCGCATGGTGTATTTGGCACGGTTTTGAAAATTTCTGGTTTTAAGACCCCTACTCGCCGGAATATGTTCCGGCCATTGCTCCGTACGTTTGTTTTCAAAATGATTCCTCCAAAATAAATGTAAAATTAGAACACTTGTAAAATCTTCGAATGCCGTTTTCTCATTTCCAGTTTTTTTACAGATGGGACTGACTTGCGGTTACCGGCAGTAGAGCTGTAAAAAATGGTTATTTTAGATTTGTACTAATTTTTCCTGTATTTGGCATCTCAAACAATATTAATTTAAGACAAACGGTGGTATCACATTTTCCGGAATGCTATTTCCTAAGTGATTCTCTGGAATGATAAATTTCCTGAAATTTTATTTCCTAGAATGATACGTTTCCCGGCATTTCTTGTTCCAGAACTATCCATTCACTAGACTACCATTTATTATATTTTATTTTTTATATTATTTAAATATTCCTTTCGTGCTCAAAGTATTCAAAGAACAAAATATTTCCTTCTTTATTAAAACATTTTTTTCCTCTGTTCTGGACCTAACACCACTGCGACCAGTAATTTGATATATTGTAGTATATCCCGTGTCTTTAGTTTAGTGCATGTCGTATTACTCCATCACTATTGAGAAATGATGAAGTATTCGATTTTTTTACAGTTGTCATCGCAAGGATCCGACTCTAATTGAAAGGTCGTGTTATTTCTACCCTTCGGAGTGTTGAAACACCCTCCAAAGGCGCGCCCCTTTGTCTGTCAAAATTGGATACCTTAGCAACAAAATTAAGGAATGACACCGATAATGACCATGCATCAGAACCCTAGTCTTAACCACTCCAAACTAGGGAACAACGAATAGAAGATTAGGAATCACATAGATGAAGACTAACTAACTCATTTTTTCCTTGTTTCAAGATCATCCTCGTTGGACAAAGCCGAGTCTTGTCACTATCAACAAGGTATAAAAAGTAACAAGGACTAAGATGTGTTTCTTGGATTACTGAAAAATCCTGTTCCCCTAGTTTAAAGTAGTCAGGACTAGGAATCGGTGGTAGATCTTACATCCCGTAACGTACCACGAAAAGGTGATCTACCCACGATACGGGGCTATTAAAACATTAAAAAAGAAATTGTTCCCTTCTTTATTAAACTACATAAAGAAGGAACTCCCTTCTTAAAATATTGGATTTTATATATTCCGAGAAATTGTATTCCGGAAAATGAACCATTTTCCACTTTTCCCAAGTATTATGCCAAACGACTATTATGCCAAATGACTGTTAAACCTAGACCTAGACGAACATGGGAAAAGGGCCAAAGAGCCAAGTGTAAACAGTGACTTTAAACATCGATTTCTCAGGGATCACAAGACTCCCACGCAATCCTACAATCCAGATAAAAAGCAGTTATACTTCAAAACTAGACGTCACATTTAGTTTGACATTTCGTTGTCATAATTTGTGGGGGCATTCGAATGGAATATAAATAACTTTGAAATTATTTTAATTTTACACTGAAATCTAGACTGCAAAGCGGTATTAGCGAAAGCGTTAAGCTTTTCTAAACTCGCGAGTTTGAATGCTGTGAAAATTACAATAACAAACTTTACACTGTTTCAATTCAATGCACGTGAAATTGTTTAACCAGTTTGAGTGGAATTCGCTAACTGAACTGCGCTTTTAGCCCAGTTAGCGAACAAGTACTGTACCATACCATATGATAGAACAAACCTTCCTCTACCAGATGGTGCTGTTAGTTTGTGTGAGAGTTTTGTGATTCGTGAGAAATCGACACCAAATGCCAAGTGTAAACAATGACTTTAAACATTGTTTACACTTGGCTCATTGACTCTTTTCAAATTTTTGTCGAGAAACAAGGTAGACCCAATTATTGGCGTTTTGAGTTTAATATGACTAGCCCTTTCTCACCAACCGAGGGTCGTCCATGCAAACCAACAATATCATCGGGAAGGGGTGATACCCGGTGATGTTGATGATTTGCGTTGATGTCATATGGGTGGCGAGAAAAGGGCATAAGAAGGTTTGTTTACAAAAAGCTTGTATGCCCTTTTCACATGATATATCTTTCTATTTTTATTTATCAGACCAGCAATTTTTCAGTGAATAAGAAATAATTTTCCGAGATTTGGCCTAATTACCATTCGGCCTAGGGACCATTCGGTCCACGGTCACCCCTTTCTGTTACAATTAAATTGGCTGCATGGACTGTAATATTGGCATACTATAGCCCTAAAGTGTTTGTTCATTAGTGTCTATGCTAATCGTTTTCTTCTTATAGGATACATGTACCAGTTATGGCTATACGATCCTATTATGGTGTGTTCCAATTATGGCCTATGGGAATTCCATAGATCATAATTGGAACACAGCATAATGGGAACGTATGGCCATAACTTATACACCCACCCTATCCATTTCTAAGTCCTCGCTTCTAATTTTCGAATCTTACTGCCTAGCCTATTAAAAAAGGCAAGGAATTATGGCCCTGCTTATAGTCGGTGCATGCAAATGGGTATCATACATCTACTAATCATAAAACTACATCAACGGTCATGCAAAACTAAACTTTAAGGCCCAAGCGCAATGTGGGCGCAAGCGGAACGGAAACGGAAAGTTTGACAGCCGATCTAAGTCGATTCTAGCTAGTTTTCAATCCGACAAGTAGGCTTACTCAAGTCGGGCTTTTCAGCTGCCGTTCCGCTTCCGCTGTAATTGCGCTTGGGCCTTTGGCTAGTGGTAAAAAAAATCAACAAAAAAGAAAAACGCAATGACCAAATTGCACAATGCGCGAATAATGAATGAGGTAGAAAAGTAGGTATAAGCATGGTACGTAAAAGAATCAAGAAGAAAAATTCAAAGCAAACTACAGGCAGCTCAATAACATTCAACAGCGAATAACAGCATCGGAAGAAAGGAACGGTAGCAAATACAACGAACAGGCAGTAGGTAAGTTTCCGTTTCTTCCTGCAATCAGGTGGTCGATTGGTATCATGAAACACGATTCGAAAATAAAAGCAGAATTCAAATTACGTAGCGTGCAAATGATGAAATGTCTTGCGGAAAAAGTGAAATTTTACTTCCTGGCAGTCAGGAGGCATTAGCATCATTATGATGGCTAATTTCGATTGACATAGTTTTTTTTCCACTAACCTGAACTGTACTGCGTGTACTGCTGGTACTGCGGGTGGAAGTTGTGTATCGCGTCCGTCATAATATCCTTCGGGTTCATCGTTTCCTAAAATTAGACGAACAGGTAATTGGATTTTACTTTTGGCAGGGATAATCTGAATAGGTCGTGTACCTTCAGGCTGCTGGAGATTGATTGCATTGTCACGGATCTACCGTGAGCGTCAGTCATACAGCTTTGGGCGTACACCTGTTGGAGGGGAGAAATGAATAAAAGCATGGAAATTAATTGTCGCCTTTGTTGTCGGTGGTGGGTAATTGTACGAACCTGATACGGGAACGCATACCGCAGGGCAATCGCCGCAAACAGCATTTCAATGCATATGAAGAAGTTCTGATAACCGGCGGACACGGTACCAGCCGACGTGGTCGAGCCACCGGCGTCCACGATGGGTGAGATTACTTCAGCCTTTTCCAGGATGGCCAGACCGACACCTGTGGGATTGAACGAGCAAAAAAACATTCACAATGTCGATTCGAAATTGTGTGCATTATGAAAAAGCCAAACTCACCCTGCCAGAAGGAGAGGAAAATCACAGATTTTACAGTGCAGAACTTGAGCACTGGATCGAACGGCGTCAGCAAGTCCCGCGTCGCAAAATAGAACAGGTACAGTCCGTACAGGGCCAACGAGACCGAAATGTTGTAGATGACGGTGATGTAGATGTAGCCACCATCGGCGCTGAAATTGAACGGAAAATGTGAAAAATTGAACAATGAGAATGTATTCGGCATTGCCTTGCTTCACAGCACACATGGTTAGTGGCCAGAAGCAAAACCACAAATTCAATTTCCTCGAGCTCGTTTCGGGCTGGCGTATAGCAAGCATGGTGATCAATCTTTTTGATGAGGATTAGAAGTTGCCCGCAAGGATTGGCGTAGGTAAATTATTGGATGATTTTTTCAAAATCCTACCCGTCTCGGTGAGCCTTAGTAAACAGAAAGCCCGGCTCGTAATTGCAAAATCAATAGCACCGCAATGCTGATAATTCAGACAATTATATAGACGGAAACCAAACATTGGCCACGGTCCGGTTGTAGGCAAAAGGTAATAAAATTCTTTATCGAGTCCTTGACACTCGCATGTTTGGACCACTGCAATCAGGCACGTACGTACAACTCTTTCTAAACTGCGGTACGGTCTTTTGTTTTGATTTCGTTCTATTTTTTCCTCCTGACCATATCCTCACGGTTCTGATAAAGACGGCGACACGACGTCAATCGGGATGAAAATTTAATTGAATTTGTGTGACGTGCGCCCTTTCCCCATTATCCAGGCCTTACCTCCAATCACCGTCGTGGTAGTGTCCGAAGGCCTGCAGAAAGATGATGATGAACGCCATCAGCGGTTTGACCAGACAGAACTGCAGAGTGGCCTGCTTGCAGAACCGGAGAAAGCCGATTGTGTACGTCTTGCCGCCGAGACAGCACGTTCCGTAAAGGCAGGACGATTTGATGGGCTTGCCGCGGATTTCGGACATGATGTTGCCCTCACCGCCGAGGTATTCGTAGCACAGGGACAGGAAATTGTAGATTACGAACGCTGGGGAGGGATAGGAATGTTCGATACTTTTGAAATCGACATTTGCGGTTGAATATTGCGGGAACATACCTTCGTAGCAGTCTCGCACGGTGAAAAAGTACACGTAGACGCTTTCGGAGTTGAAAAATAGCAAACTAATCCACGAGTAGGTGGCGTAGATGGGCACGATGAACAATATCCGGACTATCCATCGCTGCTCCTGGGGATTGGTGTACCATCGTAGGTGCTGGTAGATCTGGAAACAAACAGAAATTGAACGGATTAGCTGGGGGTGGTAATCAAATAGCGTAGAACTTCGTCAGTTTGCGTAGCGCCATTGGGCACCTGTGTACGGGTACCACTTAAACAAATGCTAAGTTTGCACCGGTTAATTGCAATTTTAGCTATTCAAACTAACGAGGTTCTACAATATGCTGGTAAATCATTTATATCTGGTTGTTTGAGCAAAAGAGGTCAACTTTGATGATAAGGATTTCGGTATTCATTTTTACACATATCCCGGGATCAAGTATCACTCAAAAAATAAATCACATTTACAATGGAAAATATCCATTAGAATTTCACATAATTTTCATGTGTTATCATAATTGGAAATCGCACTACAAGATCACATGAACCTTATGTGTCCAATGAAATTTATGTGATTTATCACATAGAATTCATGTGATCATATGAATGTTATGTGAATTTCAGATAAAAATAATTAATTTTGTTACACAAATATCTCCATTGGCCTGGCTAAACAATTTTACTGGGGGACCTAGGGGGGGCATGTTACATATTTTTTGGTTTGTTAAACTACGGTTAAATTGAAACTCTGGAACTGCCATTTAATCAAAAGGCGTCAAGGCTATTTGTTCGTCGAATAATACGACCTATTATGGCGAAGCTTACTATTGATTGATTTATCTTTATTTAGTAGGCTTTCAGCCTGAGGCTGGTTCGCCTCTAACGTAGCTTACTATTATTTAATGGTGAATCATTAAATTTAATTGTATTTATTTCATAACAACGCTTGGGGAAACCATATAAGCATACTGATTTAGAAACAAGCAATGTTAGTTTGTTCAAGCTTTTCGTAATTAAAATACATATTGTCCGGATCTCATAAGGAGTTTAAGGTTGTCAAACTTAAGAAAATTCTCATGTTAGATAATTCTCAGGGTTAGATAATGCCATGAATTTTTTAACTAGATTTGTTTTAGATCATATATATTTAATAATCAATTAAATCTCAGACATGGGTACCAACAGTAAATTCTAGGACATTTAATTTATAATTTTCAAAAAAAAAATTCCCCAACCCGAAAAATGAATAGACTTGACGAGAATCGAACCCAGCCGGCTCCATCCAGCATTGACTTGTTCCGTAGCTTTTACCAACTGAACTAAAAGAGTATAGTTTGTACTCTTTGAAAAAAAAGTAGAAGGGTCTGTGCCTAGGGGCACGAAGGGAAGCTCGACGTAGAACCGCTAGTGGACGGAACAAATATGTTGATCATTTAGTTCTTAACTCTTTCCGTTTTTGAATTGGTGGCCCTGAAAAGGAACAGTTGTTTTGACGTAGGACTACGTCTGTGATTTCTATATGGGGGTACACTTTGTGAAAACCGAAAATGGAACATGTAACGAAATTATGAAAGATTTTGAACGTTAATAACTCAGCTGCCTAGATCAATTTCAATAATTTTATCACCAATCGATCAGAAATATTTCTACGCATCTGTTAAGTTTAAGACTTTATCATCTTTCAAAATGACACTATTGAAAATTGCACGAACGTGCAACTGTTGCTATGATAATTAAAATTATCACCAATTGCCTGCGAAAAGCGATTTTCCTAACACAGACTTCAAAGTTGAATTCCATCCGGTCTCACCAAACGGTGTTTATTCAATCACCGCGTGGTGAGTGGTGGTGTTCTCCAGTACACAACGAAAGGCTTCACGCAAGCAGCTAGCTATCAAGGCTGCCGTCAACCGCTGATCGGATTCAGTCCAATCACCGTGTGTGGTGATGTCCGGTCGTCGGCATCAACAGCAGCAGTGCTTTCGGCACGTGGCGTTCAACATTGTTCTCCAGTACACAACGAAAGGCTGCCTACAAGCAGCGAGCTGCAGCCCACATGAGCATCAATAGAAGGAAGAAGAATCCGCACCGCTATTGATCGGAATCAGTAACTCTTCGTGAGTTGCTGTGGGACATCTATCCCAAGCGCGTCACACTCATTCCAAACAACATACAGCTCACCAGATTCATATGTGTTTAACACCCTAATAGCTCAGCATTAAACAACCATCACGACAAAATGGTCCAAAATAGACAAAATTTCTCGACTTCCCTGGGCATAGAAGTATGATTGGACTTGCCACACAATTATACCAATGCAAAAATGGTACAGGCATCGAAAGCTCTCAATTAATAACTGTGGAAGTGCATCTAGAACACTAAGTTGAGAGCACGCAATAAGCTAATATGCGATACGCAATAAGCTTGAAATGCGAAGAAGAAGAAGAGCTGCTGAGTTGTGCCTGAGTGAATTCTAAAAATAGCAAGCAACGATGTCCTAGTAATAACATTTCTGATCAGGCAGCGGCGCCGGTGGTGTAGTGGTAAGCGTGATTACCTCTCACCCCAGCAGGCCTGGGTTCAATCCCAGTCGGCGCCGCCGGGATGTTCTAAGGCATAACATCTGTAATCAAGGGAAGTAAAGCCGTTGGTCCCCGGTTCATGAGTTGATGGGTCGATAGGTATCGTTTGTTCGATTTGCACTCTATCGTTGCGTCCGTGTTTGGGATTTTTCATTTCTGAATTTTGATTTTTTTTAATTTGACCCCCAGTATAGAAATTAAAGACGTAGTCCTACGTCAAAAAAGGTTATCTTCCGAACACAGCGCGATTAAGTCGAATTGAATCGAAGATAACATTTTTTGCTGTTTTATTTTAATGTATCTTCAGTTGTGTTATTGTTTTATTGTTGTTTTACATCAACAGGCTGGATGAAACCCCAATGATGTCAACCTTATCAACTATAGTAATACAAAAATACATTCAGGCATGGTCATAAGATAAAAAAAAACATAGGTATATTAGTATACATAGTCAGTTACTCCTGCCGGCAAAAAACAGAAGAAAACTTTCGACGAAGCGCACCACGGGAGAGATGAAAGTCGAAAACAGATGCAACTCTGTTAAATCTTTTCTGCAGTCCGCAAATCGCACCGTATGCTGCATAATTTGTGCGACCTAGAGGCAGAGTCTTAGCATAAGGTTATTACGAAGCGATCGGGGTTGAACATTCAGGTCAATTTGACTCAGGATAGCTTCGGAATCTGTCATTCTTTGCAGGATATCGGCCACGTTTAGGGCTCTGCTGGTGTCTCTTCTAGTCCGGAGAAGTTCTAGGTCGATAAGTTGACACCGGCTTTCGTAGCTGGGTAATCGAAACGGATCATTCCAAGGCAATCTACGCAACGCAAAACGAAGAAAGCGACGATGAATAGATTTAATTTTAATGAGCAGATTAATTTACAACAGACAGTAGATATCGGTGAAGTTTTTAGCTCTCCTAAAAATCAACCCTAAAGTTCTTGACGCCTTACCGACAACATATGCAATAATGTGTTGCTTGAATGAATGCTGCTAATCCAAGATCACACCCAAGTCTTTCACCTGATTCACGCGTTCGATTGTCGAGCCAAGCAGGTCATAGCTAAGTATTATCGGTTGTTGTTTCCGTGAGAACGTAATAGCGGAGCATTTAGCTGGGTTCACTACCATTCTGTTTAAACTGCACCAACTAGCGAATACATTCAGCTGACGTTGAAGAAAGTGACATTCAGCAATGGAGCGGATTCGTAGAAAGATTTTGAGGTCATCTGCATATGATAACCGAGGTGCTTCGGTGACCAGATGCACGTCGTTCCCTAGGTATACCTTATGTGGCGAAGAAGCTAGCTGATCTGCAACCTCCTATGGCAACCTTTAGTTGGCGACCGGTAGATTACCGCATACACCGAGCCTGCCGAGTTTAGCAATCGCAATAGCATGGTTCAACTTGTCGAATGCTGCGGATAGGTCTGAATAGATAACGTCCGTTTGAACCCGATCCGACATGCTTTCGGTTATATACGATGTGAGACACAGCAGATTGGTGGTTGTAGAGCGGCTGACAGTAAACCCATGTTGATCAGCACTCAAATACTGCTTGCAATGGGACAGCAACGGTTCCATAATCACTATCTCGAATAGCTTCGAAACGGCACTTAACGATGTAATTCCTCGATAGTTATCCACAGCTCGTTTCCTTCCTTTTTTTTGTGGACGGGAAAGATGTGCGCAAATTTCCAGCAGGATGGAAATATGCCACTGGAGAGAGACTTGCGGAACAGGCGATGAAGGGGAATTAACAAGCTAGCAATATGTCTCTTCAAAAATACAGATGGAACTCCATCAAGTCCACGACAGAAGGATGACTTGAGCAGAGTCGTGGCCTTGGAAATCATCTGCTGGAACGTTGTCACTGGCAAACTTGTCGGAAAAAAGACGGTATACATCCTGAATGGTGACAGCAACTTCTCCGTTGGATTCCATAGACGATGGGAGGCCGGATTCCCTGCGTTGCTCGTTCATGTAGTTCCAACAGGATTTCGGGTGTAGCTTAAGTTTGCGCTGGATGCCTCGTTGGAAACTTGAAAAGCAACGACTCAGCCTCACATAATGTAGTTTCAGAGGAAGCGTGCGATACTTCGTAATTCTTCTCAATGCTGCTCTCGTGATTGACTTCAACCTACGTAGCTCTCTCGTCTGCCAGGGAGGGTGAGACACTTTGTGGTGAGTTCTTTTCGGGACGTGTCTGTCAATGGCATCCATATGCCAAGACGTGTGAAAAGGTTTGCGCTGCAGCCTCAACGTCATCTGGATCAAGGATGTTCTCCCATACCATGCTAGACAATACATCTATGATGCTACGGTGGTCAGCTTTACGGAAGTCATAAGAAACCGTAGCAGGATAATCGTCGAAATCACGCACGAGTTTGTCCTCAACAGTGACAATTAGAGGAGGGTGATGTGGAACTAGCTACATGGTTAACTACATGGTTAATTTGAGAAAGCGTTACTGCGCTGTAGTTGTCGAGAAGGCTAATAGCTCCTGCGTGAAATGTAGAGTTATCAGGATCTGAATATGAGATGGACTCCATGAAACGCAGATTGAAGTCACCAAAAATGAATATC